CACCACCACCACCACCACCACCACCACCACCACCACCACCACCACTAGTTAGAAACCACGAACCACTTACATGCAAACCAGGTCAGCGCGAGGTAGTGATAGCGGTAATGGAAGTCAAAAGTGACTCCAGCCATTTTACCAAGCCCGTAGCTGGCTCTCAATTTCTGGGGGGGGGCACTGCAGAAAGAATGTAACAGAGGGTTTGAGATGAGAAAATTTTTTTCCGGAATTTATTTTTGGCGACCTCCCCCCTCCCAAAAATTTACAGAATTTGTCCCATGATTGCAATTATCTTAATTTTTCATACCAAATTTCGGAGTGAGGGGGGGGGGGGCACTGGGGCACTCCTAACAACACGTATTTTACTATATAAACATGCAAGAATAAACACTACACTATCAAAATTATTTGCGAGGTTAGGATTTGACCAGCACCACCATCATCACTAGTTGGAACCACTAACCACTTACATGCAAACTAGGTCAGATGATGGTAGTGGAAGTCAAACCCAAAAACCTCGCTATTTAACACCAAACCAGCTACGAACAGCAGGTGACATGCTTATAAAACTCACTAACTTGTTTTTATCAAAAACTTCTTGCTTTGAAAACCATGCAATTAAAAAATCATACAATCAAATTCCCTCATGAAAATATAATAGTGCAAGCTGCAAATATTCCCTCCCCATCACTTTTCTAAGGTACGCCCTTAAATACACTGTGAGCTGAGCTAAAATTATGATAATTTAACAGAGTTTATATAGAATTACAGATTTTAATCATTTTGTGATTTTGACAGAGGCTGTTTGGCAATCATCTTAAAATACCATGATAAGATCCTTAATTTCATTGCCCTTGCTGTTATATGATTCTAATTCCATTATTATATTGACTTCTTATTTCCATTGATATGCACTTGATTTTTTTCGTACGAATTGAAGTAGAAATTTGAGAAGAGTAAAATGAAAGAAAAGATATAGGCTGAGAAAATCCACAGTAAGAGTGTTGGGTAGACACAATTTGTGTGAATAGCGTACAGAGCTTGCACGATAATACAAAGGAATTGGATCTATAAAAAGATAATAATAAGCATCATAGAAAGTAATTTTTATGTAAAACGTCAGGTAACTATTTATTTATCTGGTAACAGCAGAAAGGACTCTAGCTATAGTTGTCAAAGAGAAATTTATTTAGACTTCGTTTACACTAGAGCGAAAGATTCAGGATTCATTACGAAACTGAATTGTTGTAATACGATGTTGCAGCCATTTACACGCACACGCAATGATGAATCCAAGACACGAGGCCAAGTCGATGGTTTAACGACTATTTTTTGAGAATTTGTTAAATAACTTAATAGAGAATCATTTACTTTACACTAATCTGACAACTGAATTCAGAAAATTTTTGTTTGTTATCTATCCAGTACAAATGCTTGTATCCAAAAACCTGTCTTCATATGTATATACTGTAGTAGACTGGTAGACTAGTGGTGTTTATGACAATGACATGACAATCTTTGCATTTTATATTCTACTTTTTAAATCGTCGCATGGGCAATGTAATAGTGGCATATATATCAGCTGGTGGCTGTACCCCCAGCCTTACGTTTCCCCCCTCTCAGCAAACTATTTGGCCTCCACGAAGGGGGAAATAACTATATAGTTTAGAACATTACTGTTCTAACATTCCCATATTATACTGAAAGTTCAGTCCTCCTCGTTTGGAGGAGATATCAGTGCCGTAGCCAGAACGATAATTGGGGGGAGGGGGGGCACATATTCATATATTCGTGTTCACATACCATAAAAACAATTGATTTCAAAAGAAATTATTAAAGCAGAACACGAATATATGAATATGTGCTCCCCCCAATTATCGTTCTGGCTACGGCACTGGGAGATATGTAAAAAAATTGTGCCTGAATTTAAAATGCAAGATATCAACTCTCAAGATGTTCAAGTGTACGAAACGTTCCTGAAGGTTTGCATATTTTAATTTACCACTCTAGTCAGGTGTATCTTCCTTAATGCCCCACCCTCTATCGACGTTGGCCTTGACATGCATGCATGCATAACTGAACACGTTTCTTACCAGCTGGAGTTGTGTCAAATATTTCTTCCACCAAAGATATTTTCTCAGAAATGGCACAGCTGACATAGCGTAATAGGTATACATTATAATATGAACAAACGAGTTGGCCATGCAGCTAAAAAATGCTGAAAATTAAATATGAGTAATGTTTAATTAACGATGCACAATGTTTTATGAGAAAATGGTCATGTAACTGAAATATTAGAAAACAATCATGCATCAACATAACATCCGACACATTTTGTTTAAATAGATTAACGAGCACACTGACAGAGTAACGTTTAGGACCGTTAGTTACCCTAGTTATTTAGTCATATAAATTAATTCAACATCATTACAGAACAATACTGTACAGCACTTCAACAGAACACAATAGACCGATTCGAAAAATAGTTGTCATTCTTTTTCTTCCAAAATTAATTTCAACCAAGTAATCACTGCCGCCTTATACATTACTTCAAGGCTAACAATTCTACAAAGTACAATAATAATACAATTATTGTGTAATTTATTTTCTTTGAGAAATTAAATTTTATCTGACTAGCCTCGTTTTGGTGCTTTTTGTACTCTTCAAGTTCAAAGGATTATAATTTCAATTGCACGGATTGTTTTCAATCTTAAAGATGCTGTAAAGTCCATTCTGCGCATCAGTTCTGCTCATATAACAAAAGGGGACCCGCAGATATAAACATTGCCCAAATTTTGCATCTTTCGAACTTTTTTGAATTGAAACGTAGAGTTTATATTCATTTACATGAATATAAATTGGTTGGCTAACCAGAAAAGTGTTAGATATTCAGTTAGTATATCATATTTTACAAATATAGCAGTTCAAAATTTAAACAAAGCGTTTGCTTATATTACGGACTTTACAGAATCTTTTAACTCTTATATACTTTGTCTATAACAGTGCTCGTTGAAAAGTTGGTTAATAGCTTGGTAATGCATAAATTAAATGAAAATAATGCAAAATTGTGGTAACCAGTTTATCTCGTGCCCATTTTGGACAATCGTCTCCTTATGGTGCTCCCAAACAAAATACTTCTAAACTGCGTTACCGTTTCTCGGTAAAGATGTTGAAATACTAAAAAGCACAGGTGATGATCGAAAAACCAAAGAACTTTGAGAAGGGTAAACAATTTAATCATGCACGAGCAAAGAAACGTATAATTACATTGAATTATACGCAATTAAGTTGAACAGAAAGGATCTTCGCCAAAACTTACATTGTCCTCCACCAAACCACTTGATTCCAATCCACGTGACAACAACCATGGTCGAATGATGATACACATGCAGAAATGAAATTTGATTTGATTTCTTGCGTAAAACAAAAAATACCTAAAAAGTTAAATATTCACAAATCACAAAACTAGATCGATTTAGAGTACAACTTCTAGTATTGGCCACCAATATGTGCCGCCCCCTAAAAATTAGTATTAGGTTCTTAACGAGAACATTAATAAAATACAGTTTTGAAAGAGTATTACACTTAAATTTATGTACTACACTTAAATTTGTAGGGATTGACTGATGTATAATTATATCTAATAAAGAAAGTTGTTAATGTCGTCTGAAATGGTTGTCAAAATAACGTTGCAGTTGTGGACTTTGTGGCTATTTTTTACTGAATTTGGTTATAGATTCATGTCTCGCTGTTTGTGAATGCTAATTCTAATTCTAATAATCCTTACTCTCCCTAGCAGCGAGGTATGAATCTACATACCCCTAAATCTAACAGGCATATACCATAGATATCTTATATATACTAGATAGTGCATCTAATTATTCTGCAATTCAAAAATTGAAGCCGTGATTGCAGTCTCAGGTCGTTCCCATGAAATGAGAAGATTCGTATGTTTTCTATTTCTTAAACAGGGAACTTAAACATTAAGTTAACCCTATTCCAAATACGTTTTTAAACTATTCAAATAATGAAAGTTATTGTTGTTTTTAAGCGTTTATTAACAAGTGGGAACGACCAACATGGCCGCCATCTATTCAAATGGGGGTAACCGCTGGAATATTCTTGGCTTCAATTTTACTAAAAGAGATGCGCTATCTAGTGTATATAAGATATCTATGGCATATACGCGCTGCTGTCTGAGGTGCTACTAGACATTATTTTTGCAACCCAAAATGGCCGACTATTTAGCATGACGTAATAATTATTCTCAGGTGTGTCTGCAAGATCTGCATGACTGACTGAAACCTGTCTTACCGTATCTGCCATCTCTATGATTTTGGAAATAAAATAATACCACAGTGCTGAAGTTAGCTAAAAATTAAAATAACAAAATAAGTGATGAAAGAAAACGGATTGGATACAATCATACATGACAGGTGATAAAAGTACCAAAAAAGCCATACAATAAAAACCTAGAATATTTTAAATATGTATTTCTACTGCGCAGAAATTATAGCCGGGCCGAAAAAATTTGGCTGTATTAACGGGGTATCTTTATAAGAAAACGTGGCGTTTTTCAGGGACAAAAATAAGCGATCGTCGCAAGGCGGGGTTCCACTGTACACAGGACATTTTTATTTTTGGATCTTGTCGCTGAGATGGAATCCGAGATTAATCACGCCAAGAAACAAGACACAGGCAACTAACCCTTAATTCCATTGGATCATCAGAAAACGCTAAATTCTGACAAGCATAGCTGTATTGTAATGAAGTAGTAGATATCACGATCTAAAATCAAATCAACTGTATATGTATATTAAGCATAAACTGCTCGATCAAAACTTAGGCCGAAATATTGGATTGATAATCAAACGATGATCCATGAGCAACGAGAGGTTTATGCAATGCATGCTGCATACTATACTGCGTTGAACATATACTGCGTTGAACAAAAGACACACCCTGCTGGTTCACAAAATTTGAGTTCGAGAAATTTTTTTCATTAATCTACATTCTAAGTACCCAAATAAGCTATATTTATAAAAAACTGGACACTAATAACTGTTTTGCGAAATTGAGAACAAATTCATATCTGTTCAGTTTTTGCTTATACACCCTGTAGTTGGTGATTTGATCCTAAATACTGCTCATGCATGCTGATACCCAGTTTGAATGACAAGAATCGTTATTCAACTATTCTCGCCCAAACCAATATAGGTAAATATCAAGACTTTGGCCATCTCGTTCGATAGAACGGAACCAGCTTACTTTTCGGCCTAAATATTTTTTTTGCATCATCGCAGAGCCGTATAGGTTTGATTCCTGCATGTCGGAGGGCCTAAAGTTGCTCGCGGCTAGGTCTGTAACTGTATATGAATTTCCGTTATAAAATTCCGTCTACTAAGAACCCACCTAAACCAACATTAGAACTGAAATAAAAAGATTCAACCTCAGCGTATTTATTTATTTATTTATTGTATATGAGCGATCCATAAACGTACCTCAACAAATATGTGGACATTCAATAACGTTGCTCCTATGTTATATATCGTCATAAGCGCTTTAAATTCCAGTGCTTTTCTATGTTTCATAATTTTGGGGCCAATGTATATAAATAGTAAATAGCAGACTATTGAAACCAAGCTAGGAACAATAGAGTTCACAAAGGTCCAAGTCTGTGTGCGGGGATCTAGAATGAAATGGAGAACATTACGAGAAAATGTGCAATTAGATCATATTTATTTTCATAGTTTTATTGGATCATTATACTATTTTTTTTTACTCTGGCTGGCAGCTCCATGCCGGAGGCTTTTTTAGCCCGGCGCACACTAAAGCTATGTGCTTTTCTTCACGCGTGTCACCGGCGCCGAATATTTGAACATGTTGAAAAATTTTTGGCACGAGTGACGAATTCATCGAAGTGTGTGCATAGCCTAGTCTCAGCCTTCCCGCATGACTGGATCATGCAATTTTGAACCGCGGGAGAAGACCTAGCAAAATTCATCAATTTGGTCTTGGTCCTCAATTCAAAGAAACCTTACCCGAACTGCCAGTACATGTATTTCCTTCCATATTAATTGAAATATCTTCATTGTTCATGTATACCAAAGGCATAAAGTTATACAAGAACATCGATGTAGACATATAAAACCTAGGGCAGTTCGAAGGGCAAAATGGTTCCAAGAAGGGCAGATTTGCGAATTGTGCTAGGCCTTCTCACTTCCGGTCCTTCCCCAGCGCGCCCATAGCATCGCGGAAGCGAAAGGCTGGAACTAAGCTGGTGTGCGTACAGGAAAAGCAAAGGCAAAAATCCATTCCAGAAAGTGGCGGAATGGAGCAAGGCCGGTAGACCTAAAAGCATGTGCCCTCTTAAATTTTGTGGTATTTTCACAAAGAGTATTGATTTGAGGACAAAACTTATACCAACTTTTAGACCCCTCATGTATGAACAATGAGGAAAATACTGTTAATATATTTCCTGCAAAATTACTGCATGTATTACCAAAATATTGATAGCTTTATCTTGAACCAGTAGCAGAATAAGTGTATACCTGCATAAACATCCAGACCATCGTAAAAGTGTTTCACCGAGTGAAGAACCATTTTATTCTAACCAGAATAGATAAAATAATATATTGAAGTTTGTGGATCATGTGATCTTGAAAATCGAACAAAGCCCTCGCCCCGTAATATACTGACGAACTTTATTAACTTATTATACTGTATAACTCGGACAATTTTGTAGGTAACATCCTCACTTCTCTAGATACATATACATATATATATATATATATATATATATATATATATATATATATATATATATATATATATATATATATATATATATATATATATATATATACCGTTGCTTTGTATTCAATGCTTCCCGTAATATAACTCCTATTCGATCACTACAATTCTAATGTGATAATTTGGGAAAAACCTAATTATGACCCGGCTCCATTGTCTCGGACTAGTGAGCTAGTACAAAATGCTATCAACGTGATCAACCGCCCTGCACGACATATGTCAATGTCATTATATGTAATTCATGTGTTGCCATAATGTTGTGCGTGCTTTTGACGCCTCCTTTCCTTCACTTCACTCCCCATCCTTTTGTGCCGCTGTTTTTTGCGCTACCAGGCAAGCCAGATTTTGCAGTACTGTTTTGCCGTCTTTAATTATGATCAGAGCCATGGGCCATCCCGGAAAATGTCTTGGTGCCTCAAACCATCAACCGAGGAAGATGGATTAGAGTAAATGGTATATATGATGCCACTCAAAGTCATTATGCAACTTCAAATGCATGCACTGGCAGTTGTGAGAACAAGCAAATGATGCTATAAATCTATGATTATGGTCATTGCATAGACAACACTAGCTAACTTACGGTACCAAGTGTACAAAAGAAAAGGCGTGAAATAATAACTGCTGTTCAATGTATTAAATTACCTGATATCACAAAGAATAATAATAGATTTATTCTTCCAATTTGGCTGTTGAAAAACTGTTTTCCTGAAATCAAGCAACGTTGAAATGCACAATAATTGGTGATTCCGCCTTTCTACCAGTTGGATTGTGCAAGAGAAACCGGACCTGTTTCTAATGAACAAAATTAAAAATATTATGTCTACTCATCTCTATAATTCTATCAATATGCCAATTTGTAAAGTCGAAACATAATTGAGGCCATACTAAAGGTCATCATCGAACAACGACACAGCAGATTCAGGGCTGCGTTCTGGTTAACCACGTTTTCACACGGAAAAGTTGAAACCCTTTAAAATATATAATGAAACAGTAATTAAATGTATAAAAGAACAGGGGCCGGTAGCATAAAAAGCTTAACAACCTTTTAACTACCTGTTTTCAGTGTTTTGTAATTAAATGTAGGCTCTCAAATATACTTGTAGCTACTGTTTTATACAACCCTCTTAATAATGATTTAACTATCACCTATCACTGAGACCGAGGGAAACCGAGCGTGTTTTGTAGCACCAACTCCGCCGCTAGCTGTTGCCCGAGGGGAAAAGAGAAAACAAGTAAAAAGAAAATAAGATCCAAAAGCGTAGCATTTTTTGCGCAAGATATAGTCAAATCAACTCCAACATGGGCCCATCACGGCCATTAGAACCACAGGTCACCCGTCTTAGGAGCGGGCGCCGGGCAATCTGTATGAGACATTGTTTCGTTACTGGTTTATGCAATTTTAAAGAGGTTTCCTTTGAATTGTACAAGATAGCGTACTAAAAGTATTCATAGTATATTCTTTGCGTCATGATGTCATCTAACTAAACTCAGACACAAGTCAGAAGGTAACATTTACAAATTTTATACTGATTTCTGTGCAAAACGGTAGACATGGTTTGTTTTGCTACGAAATCGTGCGAAACACTATCTTTCCCGGTTTCCCCTCGCGAAGCTTTATTTCTCATGGAGACGTTATAATGTGCCTAGTTTTCGGGAATTATTCGCCTTCGATGCACCGAGTGCAGTTTTAATTTGGCGAACTGCCCTGATGTTTCGTTTACGAAATATATGTGTACTCTATATAGTTTTTGCGTGATTGAACTCAGATTCTGAATTTTATAACGCACCGAGTGCAGTTTTAATTTGGCAAACTATACTAAAGCAGTCTCCTCCGCAGAGGCTTTTTTTCTTTTTTTTTGGCTGACCAAGTAAGTAGCAGGCGGAAGGCAACGGGTGGGATTCGGGCGGGTGCGGGTTGAGAGAAGAAATTTGCCGAATCCCACCCATTGCCTTCCGCCTGCTACTTACTTGGCCAGCCAAAAAAAGCCTCTGCGGAGGAGAGTGATACTAAAGGCGTACTAAAGACGTCTCAAGTATGTAAAACGTTTTTGCGTTCGCCCCAAACGTTTTCGGGATATTTTCAACGAATTCCATTGGCTATTGGTATTCTTTGTTTGCGCGATCAGAAAATATTGTTCAAATTATTTAACTACGCTGCGAGTGTTCGCAAGTTCGCTGCGAGTTGTTTTTGCGATGAGTGGAAAAGAGCTTTAATCTTTTGTTTATCTTCATTCTTCGTTGGTATAAATAATGTACTGTATACGTATATTCTTTGCGTGATTCAACTGAGACATAGATTAGTAATAGCAGGCATAGTAGGTCATATTCTTTTAAATTAAGTCACAGAGCGTAGATATGTTCGCTACAAAAGCAATGTGAAATGCCTCTCCTCTCACGAGGCATTAATACTTCTTAACAGATATTATACTGAACGAGTCTAGTTGTGAACCGACGAATATTTTTGCCTTCCCGCCTTGTAATAGTAAATACAAATTATTTTGCTAAAATTCAGAATTAAAAAGGTATAGAATTGAAAAACTCTATTTGCCTTTGTTGCCTGTCTATAAAGCAGATACTGACAGTTTAATTCTTACCTTATTCCATACTTGTGGCATATATTTTGTTGTATTTGTTGTGTTTTCTGTATAATTGTATTAATATATTCTGTAATGTGATTTACATTTTTTGTTTCTATAAACTTTGTTTTGACTAACTGGCCATCTGCTTGGTTTATTTTTTGTCACGTGATCGCTGTTATATTCTTAGTATAAAAGCTCATGTAATTTTCCAAGACCGTCGGTAGTAAATATCTATGGTAGTAAAACAATAGCGAACTTAAGCATGTAGAACGGAACGCGACAGCGACGGTAAACAAACTCGTTGAACCGAAAATGATTGCAGCAGAAAACCTGTCGTCTGTTATCATCGTATGAAAATAATACAGTTTAAGGATCAAATTAACACTGGGTTTATGATTGAGAAAAGTTTTAGGACCCAATTTAAAATAGCAGTTGTCCCAGCTTGAAATGTAAGCGTTGTATACAAGACGTGATAATCTGTATTTTGACGTTGTAAAACAGAGCTATGGCGACGTCTAAAACGTCTGTGGATTTTAATTTCAATTTCTGCTCATTTTCTTGCATTAATAATATGTTATTATTAGCTGTTTTCGTTGCACTTTTGTTCTGCTTTTTGAACTTTTTAATAGATAGCTTAAGATCTACGACGTCGACGTCAGCTAGGACGTCAGGACTGAGCAGAGGACTGAGACGTCGTCCTAAATAAGTAGATGTAGCTCAATATCTACGACGTCAAATATTTAGGCTCGCAAGCGGAAGTAAATTGGCAATAGTTTTTGAAGTGTGCATATGTTTCTCTCAATTTACTCGTCGTCCACCCAATGTCGACAACCTCACAAAAAGAGTTTTACCGTCGTGGGTACAAGAGCATAACAAACGGTAATGGATTCACGCGTCTCTTTTAAGTTCATTTTAAAAAGGATGTAAATATTTACAGTTTAAATGCCGACGTCCTGAATTTTAAGTGGAAATTTATTTATTGAGGACGACGTCCTAGTCCCAGACCTCTGCTTACCCCTGACATCCTAGCTGACGTCGACGTCGTAGATCTTAAGCTATAGTAGCTATCTACTAACGGTAGTTAGTTATAATAAAAAACCGTAAAGTTTAAGGCGCTTTCTTGACACGTCCCCGTACTAGATTAAGCTTTGCTTAAGTTCGTTAATATTGGGAGGGGGGGGGATCTGAATTGCATTCGCACTTTTCTAGTTCTTTTGTGTGTTTTGCTTACACAAATTATTAGCCCCCGCTTTAGAAGGCCTTATTTTCCTGACCTCGGCTCCGCTAGTAACTCCAGACGAGGGGCTTCGCTCGAACCGTCAACATTTTCCTTATATATTTGCAGGTAGTTGCATCCCTACCAACGAAAGTTTGTTCACTTTATTGGAACTACCTGCACTGGCCAAGACAGTTCAAGAATTTAGAATTTAAAAACCGCATTCGTCGTTTACAGACGTTATGAAATGTAACATAATACCATTGGACGCATGACAGGATATTGAAGTGGAATATTAATTTTAAACTCTTGACCCTCGAAATGATATGTATATACCCTTGATCTTTTAAAGTTATTGTCAAATTTGTTATAGCCTGCTCGCAGCCTGAAATTTTTTCCTGAAATTTCCTCTTCTAAATTTCAGGCTGCGAGCAGGCTATGGTTTTGGTTTTAATATACTATATTAATAACAATGCGGTGTAACTAGACAAATTTCATTCTGTTTTTGCGAACTTGTTACCGTGTACCAATTCTACTGCCTGGCACGTGTTAATATTGCAAGGCCTGCAGCATTTAATTTTTTTACTTATTTATTTTTTTTATTTTTTTTTTAAATTTATTATTATTATTATTTATTTATTATTATTGTTATTAAATTTTTAATATTTGACTCAGTCTCCTCTAGTGAACATACCGCATACGACACGGCTGCTTTACAAATTGAGTCTCACGTAGCCTTACAAGAGTTCAAGGATGAAGTATAAAGACATTTTTTTCATTTTCAGGTGATCAAAACTTTTTAACAACAGCCTCCACGATACACGATACACGATTGAGTGCTTGATTGCGACATGTAATTAAAACAGGGTCGAATATATCAAATTACATGGATGAAATACTTGTGATTTATGCATTGACATGCATAATATTGTTCTATATAATCGTGCAATACAGGTTCAACAAGATATATTTCGGTCAACAAAATACTTGTTTTCCTTATACCCTAGATTCCTAAAAATACCGGTATACGTCAACAATCACAAACAATATTTCAAATATTGCAATGGAATGTATTGCCATACTGGAGATTACGCAATTGGATTACATAATCACAAATGCAATAGCCACCAGGCACTACAAGTGCATACTGTATACAAAATAATGCAATATCCTTAATATATATTATTGCAGGTAGTGGTTGAAATTGCGTTTAATATCATTAAGTCCGGCTCACACTAATCCAACATGTTGGCCCACTATTGTATTATTGTCGGATGCAACTTGGATGACTCTGTTTGAACACTGTGAGTGGTAATTTGCCAAATTTTGGAAGATGTTGTAACTTTAAATGTATTCATAATTTTCATCAAGCGTCGTCCAGCATAATTGGTTCGACAATGTTGGACAGGTCTGACAACGGTCTTTAAAAAAACGTAAATAAAGTTAATAATGTTTTTGGCTTACCTCAAAGATATCACTCCACAGGATTGCAAAAGTCTTGTATGCATAGCCTGCATCACATGTGCATACGCTTTTCCACCTGCAAGATAAAACATCCGAAAAGCGGGCAAGGTGAAGAGTGCACAGTGCCTTGCCCTTGGGGAAAGGGAATTAGGATTGGGGCAGAGAGATTTTTTCCGTGCCCCGTCTAAGACAACATGAGCTCCACCTTTGAATAATCACGTCCGAATTTATCATTATGATAAATTCGCGGCACATTTTGACCACAAGCATTAGACAATCTTCTTGTTATAAATGTAATGGCAATAAAAGGGAGGCTAGTCGCGCGGGGGTGGGAAGATTTTCAAGATTATCAAAGGAATACTTTTTCAAAAAAAGTTTTAAAAAGTTTTAAAAGAGTTTTAAAAAGCAAAAAAAGTTTAAAAAGTTAGATTTCTAAAAATATTTAAAAAGTTAGATTTTTAAAAAAGTTTAAAAAGTTAGGGTTAGGGGTTAGTGGTTAGTGGTTATTGGTTAGGGGTTAGTGGTTAGGGTTGGGGTTATGGTTAGGGTTAGTGTTAGGTGCCGCGAATTTATTATTATGAATAATTCAAAATATGCCACGAATTTATCATAATGATAAATTCGGACGTGTTTAAGAATTTACTCATATAGTAAATTCAAAGGTGTAGCTCAAGCTGGTCTAAGAATATCGCACTCTATTTGAAACTATATTTACTAAGGGACCGGTCATTATTTATGGTGGGGGGTGGCACCAAAGAGAAAAAGGTTGGGTAAACTAAATTTTGAGTAAGTGAAAGGTTGGGTAAATGAAAAGCAAAACAACTCAAGGGTTGGGTAATAAAAAGTTATAGTCATATGTCAATACAATATGTGAATCGATCCGTCAGTGTCTTGATCATTTTCCAATTTGTTAGAAGACAAATGGTGTCTTCAAAGAAAGCACATGTGCAGACAACATGATACATTAGACTGCAGCAAATTTCACAAGCAGTTATCAAACTTCTCATGCAGTGTCACAGAAATCGGGTAAGGGACATATGTGACAACTGAATGGTAATCTTTTGTAAAGTTTAATTTTGGCCAGGGGTGGGTATTTATTTTTTACTTGATATTTGAGGTTGGGTAATCAAATTTTTGACTTTTTAATGGTTGGGTCAGCAAAATGTTTGCTACGAAAAACATTTCTCTTCGGTGCCACTCCCCACCATAAATAATGACCGGTCCCTAAAGAGACTAAATTAAACGCGTTGAGCGAATAGGATCTTCAATATGACAATACGCCAATATAATTTGTGTAAATATCGAGATTTTTGGACATCTCGCAGTCTCGCTGAATAGAACTAGAGCTCGAGCGCTGCACCGGAATCGCAGGGCCGCAGTTTTCTATTCCTGCCACAGGGCCTATATAGTTTCCACAACTGCTAGTATATAGTTAGGTCTAATAAATGTATAAAAGTGTTATGTCGAGTGTAGATGCTCAAAAACCAATATTTGTGTCATACTGCAGGATTTTACTAAATTTGTGCTCTTGTCCTACCAACTTCGCAGGCGGTAGTGAATTCCATAATTTTGTAAGGCACTGTTTACTCCTGTTTGAGGTAGGGTCATTTGGATGTTTATTAAGCCGTGATAAGAGCTGAATGAAGCGAATCATTCCGTGGTTAACCCGGCCAACACAGCTCCATATGAACAGCCCCTAAGACAGTGATTTTGCCAAGGATTGATTTTTACAAATTTGGCTAACGTTTGTTTGACATATTCTAAATTCTAATCTTCGCGCCTTTTCTTCGCACCTAATTTTTTCGCGCCTAGTTTTTTCCCGCGTCTCGCACCTTTTTTGTCACGCCTTTATTTCGTGGCTTGTTTCACTGCCCTCACTCTCGGTCAGTAAGTTATTAATATTGCACTTGTTTCGAATCACAAACAACTGCGGATTCTTTCACTTTTTGCCTGCGAACAGGCTCTCTCGGAAGTATTGCGTGTGTATTTATTTTGTGCGTGCTTATTATAATTTGCGTTCGCTTATTCCATTTGTGCGTGTGTATACAATTTGTAATTGTGCGTGATTATTGTAGTATACTGAGATTTTTTTAGTATAAGAATATAAGCAAAACAAACAACGTGGTCGAGTTACAACACACTTCCTTTATTCCCATACAGCATTATGGGATATGCATAAATTATGCTAATATGAACCTTAATATATTACACTGCTTTTCTTTTTTTTTTAGTTATTTATAAATATTAGTCAAACAACAACATAAACAAAAAATACTTACCATCCAAACCTATTTACTGGCTTTCTGATTCTCCCAGATCTCCGAAGATCTTTCTGCTGGGCAACAACATCTGAAGACACCACAGGTGTCACATATTTCTCAACTACCTCTATCAGTGATTCACTTACCTCGGTGGCTATTTCGCCATTGTCATCTGCGACAGTCTGTTCCCCAGATTCTGAAATACTTACCTCTGGTTCGTCATCATCATCTTTTAAATCATTGCTACCATTCTCTCTACC